TCGATAATTGATATTGATATAAAATTATAAAAATAAAAATATAAAAGAAAATAAAAATATAAAATAAAAGTGGCGAAATAAAATATTAAATCTTATTAAATAAAATCATTATAATGAGTAAAAGTTGAATGAATGTTAAATTATTAAGTGAAAGAAAGAGAAAATGAAGTTAATTATAAAAAAAAAAAAATGAGAGTGTTGAAAATATAAACAATTATGCTCTTCTTAAATTTTTTTTTATACTTTAATTTACATTGGTTTTCGTGCAGAATAGATTTTGTATTTTCTTTTAATAGTTTTAGTGTATTATTTAAAATTTTTAAAACACATCCAAATAGTTATGGGATTTGATGACTCGTACAATGGTAGCTTCCACGTATTTATTGTTATGAGATGAGATTGGTTACAATCCCATAATTTCAACAAACATTTGTACTTTATTTCGAAACTCTTTATGACGGTCAGAAATACTGAATTTGCAATTGTTTAGCTTTAATGTGTAGTCTATCCGTATAAAAAAATTATGTTCGAATTGATGGTAGACATAGTTAATTTGATAGTATTGATTTTATGATAATTGGGTTTAGTATAATTAATTTATATTTAAATATATTTATATAAAAATAAATAAAATAATAAATTTCAGTAAAAAAATTATAAAAAATCAATTTTACACCTCTAAAATTTTATATCCCTAAAATTACTTTTAATCCTACGAAAAATCAAATCAAATATATATTTAACTGATGAATAACTGGACTTTCGGACAATAAACGACTGAGCTTCCCTTATATTTTTCCAAATATTCTAATTATATCATTTTCTTTCTTTATTTTTAATTTTTTGAAATTGAAAAATTTCAAAGCATTGGATAAGTTTACTTAAAGAATTTTAACACGTAATTTTTTCCACCCGAATAACTTCCAATCAAATATTTTAATAGGATTATATTTTATTAAATAATTTACATAAAAGTTATTCGATATCATGATTTTTATCAAATAATTTAGCTATAAGTTTTATGATAGTGTTTCTTTTGTTCTCTAGATAATTTGATTATAAATTGTTTTGAAGTTATCATTTATTTAAAATAATAGGCCACACTTTAAAACCGTTGCCAAAAGTAAACAAATTACACAAAAATGTCCTAAAATGAATTTGTTTGGTTAGAAAATGATATATAGTAACTAAGGAAATTGTTTACCACGGTTTAATTTTAAGAAACAATTTTTTTTGTAGGACACGATTTTAACTGTTACCTAAACTTATTTTTGTTTTAATTCGGAATGTATTTTTTTCCAAATATAATACGGTTTAATAATATTAGTTAAAATGTATAATTTAAAAAAAATTATATTAACAATGAAAATAATATTTAATCAATTTTATTTTTTTTAAAATAACTTTTTTCTCTCTCTAATTTTTCTATTTAGCCTCCAATAAATTATTGTTTGTAACTCTAAACAATTTTTTAGTGAAATGAATCCCAACAATAACCCTCTTAACATCCAAAATTCTACTAATTATCATTTCAACTACCCAAATCCCAACTATATATTTTCAAAATCAATCTTGCAACCAACAAGGTCCCCAAAATATACCAAATTTCATAATGCCGTCATTTAATCCAAACTATCGTCCATATTATGGATCTATGATGTCATATTCATCCAAAGCATCACCTTATTATTCTTCTACTCCAAAGGGAAAGGAAAATGTTCTTAATGTTGGACTTGATGAATTTCCTGATTTTTCTACACAAACGGCTCTTGGTGGCATGAGCGGTGGTCATGGAGCCACTCCAAATGCAGAGGATTCAACTCTTGTTCGTTGGAAAATCTCCAAATGGACCACTGATCAAAATTTGGTTCTAATTAGTGGGTGGATTAAATATGGAACAAACAATGTTGTTGGGAGAAACCAAAAAAGTGATTCATATTTGGGTAAAATTGCTTATTACTGTAATGAGCATTACTCATTTGATCCTCCCCGTGATGGAGCTACATGTAGAAATCATTACAACTACATGAACAAAATACTTAATAAATGGACAAACGCTTATGATAACGCTAAGCGTATGCAAAAAAGCGGGTGGTTGGAGAATGATGTATTGACAAAAGCGCATGAATTATATTCAAGTGGTAAGAGTGGACATTTCATTTTAATATCAGAATGACTCGCTCTCCGTGATCAACCATGTTATGGTAGTCAGGTAGGAGGAAATAATGGATCTGTAGGTAGTGGATCTAAGAGAGCCCACGATAGTTATGCAAGTGATTCCAACTCTGTAGAATCTAGTGCTCGCTCAATGGGGAGGGATGAAGCAAAAAAAAAGGGTAAAAAAAAGCAATGGCGCAGCCTTGGAATCGGTCAATGAAGAGTGGAATGAATTCAAATAATTTAAGGAGAAAGAGTTGGAACGATTGGACAAAATAGCCATGAGGCAAGAGGAAGCTAACCAATTGTTGAAAGAAAGTACCGAGGCTAAGAAGATGAAGATGTTTATGAAGCTAAGTTCAAATAGCATCTTGATGACCAGAGCAAAGAGTTGTTGAAAAAGTTGGGTCGCGATCTGTTTGGAAATTAAATGTTGTTAAGTCATTGTTTGTATTTTGTTTCTTATCTACTATTTTCTATATTATCAAGTCTTTATCAAGTCATTGTCAAGTCATTGTTTGTATTTTGTTTCTTATCTACTATTTTCTATTTTGTCATTTTGTTTCTTGTCTACTATTATCTATATTATCATGACGTTGTTTGTCACTTAGTTTCTTGTCTACTATTATCTATATTATCAAGACATTGATTTCTATTTTGTCACTTAGTTTCTTGTCTACTATTATCTATATTATCAAGATATTGATTTCTATTTTGTCATTTTGTTTCTTGTCTACTATTATTCATATTATCAAAATATTGATTTCTATTTTGTCACTTAGTTTCTTGTCTACAATCATCTATATTATCAAGATATTGATTTCTATTTTGTCATTTTGTTTCTTGTCTACTATTATTTATATTATCAAGACATTGATTTCTATTTTGCCACTTAGTTTCTTGTCTACTATTATCTATATTATCAAGATATTAATTTCTATTTTGTCATTTCTTTTCTTGTCTACTATTATCTATATTATCAAGATATTGATTTCTATTTTATCACTTAGTTTCTTATATATTATTGATGTACAAATACCAAAAATATGATATTACTAATCTTATAAATGGAGATTCATTCTTCCATTAATGTACCAATACCAAAAATCTCATATTACTAAAAAACATCAATGGATCCTTCAGAATTTCCCTTTGATATCGAAGCTTACAAAAGGCAGTCTAAAATCGAAGAGAGATATATCGTCAACCGGTTCAGGGAGCGACGAAATCAAATAGAGGAAGGATATACACTTAATGTTAAGAGAAAATATCTCAATAAAGATCATGCAACGACAAACCAAATACTAATAGAAGACTACTTTGCAGACCAACCTACATATGACGATGCAATGTTTCGCCGGCGATTCCGGATGCGAAAACATGTGTTCCTTAGGATCGTTGGGGAACTATCTAGCAGGGACAAATACTTCACCCAAAGAGTTGACGCAACCAAAAAAGAAGGTATATCTCCATTAGCAAAATGTACCACGACCATGCAAATGTTAGCATATGGTGTGGAGGCCGATGCGGTCGCTGAATACATTAAAATATGAGGTACAACAATATTAGATTGTTTGCGTAGATTCTGTAAAGGAATCATACAATTGTATGAGCCAATGTATCTCAGAGCCCTAACTCAAGATGACCTGCAAAGAATACTACATGTTAGTGAAATGCGGGGGTTTCCGGGGATGATTGGGAGTATTGATTGCATGCACTGGGAATGGAAAAATTATCCTACAACATGGGAAGGTCAATTTACTCGGGGAGATAAGGGAACCACCACTGTTATTCTTGAAGCATTTACAACTTATGATCTATGGATTTGACATGCCTTCTTTGGATGTACTGACACATTGAACGATATAAACGTTCTAGACCGTTCACCCGTGTTTGATGATATTGAACATGAAAAAACTCCAAGAGTGAACTTCTTTGTGAATCAACGTCCGTACAATATGGCATACTATCTGTTGACGCTATCTACCCTTCTTATCTGACTTTCGTCAAATCAATTAGACTTCCTCAAAGTGAACCAGATAAGTTATTTGCAAAATATCAGGAGGGATGTCGGAAGGACATCAAACGTGCATTTGGGGTGTTGCAGACTCGATTTAAAATCATTCGCGAACCAGCCCATTTGTGGGACATAGCCGATTTGACTCTCATCATGAGGTCATGTATCATATTGCATAATATGATTGTTGAGGATGAACGAGATACATATTCTCAACATTGGACAGATTATGATCAATCTGAGGCAAGTGGGTTTGGTACATCGAAGCCATTCTCGATCGAGGTGCTACATGCATTTGCAAATCGTGTGCGTGCTAGATCTATGATGCGTGATTCAAATGTGCATCACGAATTGCAAGCAGATCTAATCAAACATATATAGATAAAGTTTGGAATGTTTCGTGATCAAATAGATTGGTTGTGAGTTGAGTATATTATACTAATTAAGTTATGTGTGTTTCATTTTAAGTGTGTTGTGTGTATTGTATTGCATTTTAAATTTTTTGTAATTTCAAATATAAAATTAGAGAATAAAAGTATCTAGTACTATTGTAGTACCATATAATTAATTCATCAAAAAGAACATGTTTAAATATAATTTATTCTTAAGAAAGAAAAAATAAAAAACAAAGAAACAAAATCTTACAATTAGAGACGAAGTGAGAATATATATATATATATATATATATATATATATATATATATATATATATATATATATATATATATATATATATATATATATATATATATAAACGGTGACTTGGTTCACTAGTTTCAACAAACGTTGGTTTCTCTAATCAATAACAAAGGAATAATAGCAAACCATGTTGATGGCAATGTGCACCCAATTAGGAGTACCACATTCGTGGACTCCAACACAGTGCAACCTAAATGCTCCATCCAAAACAATCCTAAAAGCCAAAACAACAAACTCAATGCCTCCAGAGAAGAAAGAAATTTTCAAGTCATTAGAGAGTTGGGTATCGGAACGTGTATTGCCACTGGCCAAACCTGTGGAAGAATGCTGGCAGCCACATGATTTCTTGCCAAACTCAGCATTACCATCAGACGAGTTTATCGATCAAGTGAAAGACTTAAGAGTTCGAACGGCTGGACTCCCAGACGAATATTTGGCTGTTTTGGTAGGTAACATGATCACTGAAGAAGCATTACCTACATATCAATCATATTTAAACAACTTGGATGGTGGGGTTGCAGATGAGACTGGTGCAAGCGACAATCCATGGGCTATATGGTCACGCTCTTGGACAGCTGAGGAGAATAGACATGGAGATTTGCTCAAAACATATCTTTATCTATCTGGTCGAGTTGATATGCAAATGGTTGAAAAGACTATCCAATACTTGATTGGAGCTGGCATGGTAATGTATTTGATTTTTACTTGTATATACACTAGCAAAATCATACTTGTGTAGATAAATTGATTGTTTGTGGTGTAGGATATAGGAACTGAAAACAATCCATATATGGGATTTGTTTATACATCTTTTCAAGAGAGAGCTACTTTTGTGTCCGACGGTTGTCTAGCCAGACTATCTAAGAAAAGGGGTGATCCAATACTTTCATGCATTTGTGGCACTATTGCGGCAGATGAGAAGCGCCACGAAATTGCGTACGAGAGAATTGTGGAGAAACTTTTAGAAGTGGACCCGACTGAGACGATGATAGCCATATCAAAAATATTGAGTGGTCACATAACAATGCCCGGGCACTTGATGCATGATGGACAAGACCCGCACCTCTTCAGTCATTTCTCTGCTGTGGCACAACGCATTGGTGTGTACACAATTGGTGACTACATTGATAACTTGGAGTTCTTGATTAGAAAATGGAGATTGGAGAATGTAGAAGGTTTAACAAGTGAGGGAAAACATGCACAAGAGGTTGTGTGTGGTCATGTACCAAGGATTAGGAGGCTACAAGAGCGTGCTGATGAGCGAGTGCAAAAGATGAGACCCAAATTTAGTTGGATCGTCAATAAAGAGCAATCTTATGAAAGTAGACAAATCTTTTTTTTAAATAAAGTTGGGTGAAAAAGCAATGACTATGTTATATTTAAATTGTACTAATCCTAGTGTTTGATTATCCTTTCCTCTTTGGACTAATCTATAGTCTATAGATAATAGAGAAAAAAATTAGATTAAGCTAATTTCAGCTAGTGCCTTCGTAAACTTTATCTCCTCCAGACACATTTATAAGCAACAAAAAGTTTTTTAAATTTATTGAATAAATGATGTATCTAGTCATTATTATATATCAGATACATCAATTATTCAATGATTCTAAAAAACTTTTTATTGCTTATAAATGTGTCAGGAGGGTGTACTTGTTAACTCTATTAACATCTCTCTGTTATTTTTTCTGTTAGTAGGTTGTTAACTGTTATCTTTAACAATATTGTTGTACCCCAAAATTTACTCTCTCAATTTCTCAAAAATTCTCTCACAAGATCTCCATTGATTCAAGACTGCACCAGGATTGATCAGCTTAAGATACCTCCTCGAACACAGATGACTCAAAACTAGGGTTTGAGTTTGCACAAGTACAATTGGACTTTTAATGCCCCATATAGTTTCCATGGATCATATTGGACTCTCAAGCATCAGGTCGAAGATGGAACCTCTGAATCCTCGAAAGGAGGAAGAGGAAACAGTCGAAAGGGCAAAGCAGATAAAAAAGGTGTGCAGTTGCAGATGACCAGGTCGAATTCAAAATCTGGTTCAGGCTGTTCGAACCACATGACTGATCGAAAGGAGTGGTTGGCAGATTTTGACAAATCGAAGAAGAACAAGCTTGCTTCGATCCCCAAGCTTCGACTGGGCAATGACTTCCTTCGAGCAACCTGCTTCGATCCACCTCTAAACCCTTCGACACACATAGTTTCGACACTATGAATTATAAGTCTATCTTCAAGCTGGCTTCGATCCACAAGCTTCGACTGGGAAATGACTTCCTTCGAGCAACCTGCTTCGATCCACCTCTAAACCCTTTGACACACGTAGTTTTGACACTATGAATTACAAGTCTATCTTCATGTTTGCTTCGATCCACAAGCTTCGACTGGACAATGACTTCCTTCGAGCAACCTGCTTCGATCCACCTCTAAACCCTTCGACACACATAGTTTCGACACTATGAATTACAATTTAACAAAAAAAACTTGCTGATAATAGTTCATTGCAAGAAGAAGGTACTGACAACATAGTCTTTCAAATGAGTAATGAAGGAAAAATCATGATTAAAGATGTGCTATATGTACCTGGAATAAAGTGCAACTTGCTAAGTGTTGGACAACTAGTCGAAAGAAGTTTCTCAGTTGTCATGAAAGATGTAGTTTTGAGATTGTTCACCAAGAATAATTTGGTCTTAAAATCTCCATTGTCGAAAAACAGGACATTTAAGATAATGATCAATTCGACAAAAGTTTAATGTTTGAAAACTGTTCGACCACAAGGATAGTTGGTTGTGGCATTTGAAGTTTGGATATTTGAATTTTCGACCACTTAATCAACTGATTACTCAAGATATGTTTACTGGTATTCCAAGTCTTGAGATGCTTGAGAAAATTTTGTGAGGTTTGTTTAGTAGGAAAGCAATCCAGAAATTCTTTCGTTTTGACTATGCCAATGAGATTATCTTGCATACTCAAAGTGGTACATTCAGATGAATATGGTCCATTCTAAGAACATACAATTGGTGGAAACAAATATTGTTTTGTCTGTTGATGGGTTTGGTCGAAAATTGTGGATCTATGTGATCAAAATGAAAGGACGGAGTATTCGATTCAAGGAATCAAGTTGAAGACAAAATTTTAAAAAATATTGATCAAATCCATAGGCCATGCTACATGATCTTCCTTTGCAGGCCTCAAGCTTGTGTTTCTTTCCATAATTAATTATTTACACAATGAATTAAGCTCTTACCCAAGTATTTAAAGTATTTTCTGTAACACCCCAATTCTACCCGACAATATAAATGTAAATCAGAGTTATAAAAATTATTCAACTGAATCAGGATGCAACAAATTCAACTTAAAAGCCATTGCATTCAACATGGATACATAATACTTTAAAACTTTGGACGAACCAACATCAAAATAAATTATTCTTTTAAATCAACAACTTGAACAACTACGCAACAGAATCTTAATAACATCTTTATCCAACATGAAAGCAACTTCTGAATACCAAGTACTTAACAACAATCAACTTAAAGTTCAACAACTGTAATAACAAATACTAAAGCAACTAACGTTCATCCCCCCGAGTGTTACGTATCAGAGCAATGACACCGACTCAAACTACTGAAGGTCAACCGCCTTCACTCTGGATTACCTGCACGTTACCAACATAAGGGTAACATTCAAACATAAGGGGTGAGATTCTCAAATCGTATAAGTGAGCGCATGATAAATCATATATTAGAATTCAGGAATATAAAACCATCACATTGCAAACATCAACATTGTCATGCCCTTCACAATACATCTTTTCACAAACCTCACTTGTTTTAATCACAACTTAAATCATCACAATTCACATCATTATTACTTATGCAAGACCCAATGAGACACAACTGTGCAAATGCATGTGGTACCACCAGGGCTTCAGGCCCCCATCGCCAATTGCCAATTATTAGAGGCATTCAAACAAGGCATAAGCCTTCGTCGCTATTTTGCCAATCCAGGCCATCACAAAGTATGCAAATGAATGTGACTCAATTAACATGACATCACATATCATAATCGTCAACAACAAAATATCATCGTAAGGCATACACCTATATCACTGATATTACCAATTAATAGAGGTAAATCTTCATCATAACAATTCCTGCCACTTCTCATTATCACAAAATATTCACAACATCATAGCATCAACGCACATCACAAAGGAAAATACAAACATGATAGTCGTTTCCCACTACTCTGCAATTCTCAATTTATACCACCAATTTACTTATTGGATAACTATTAATTTCTTCTATTTAATTAATCGTCCAAAATAGTTACTGCAACTTTACTAACTATTTCTAACTTTGTCTTATTACTACAGGCCGTTAAAATTATGTTGAAACTACTAATTTAAAATTACTGACATATTGGCTACTTCTATTAATGTTCCTTCTGCTATAACATACTACTGATAAGAATAGTTTAATTCTTTTGTATTTATAAATTCTATGCTAAAATATGTATGCCTTATGCGAGATACTGATACCATATAAACAATTATATAAACATATTGCTAAGCTACATAAAACAAGTGCCTGCCATGCAAATAAGTGTGCCTAACGTCACACTACAATGTGCCTAACTTTTCCCTCAAGCACAGTGCCGAACGACACTCTCCACCTTTCCCTTCCTGTCGACCGGCATCCAACAATAACAACCTGCCGATCTCCACGCCTTCCTCCTCAATGGTGTCGACTGACATCCAACAACAACATAGCCTGCCGATCGTCAATGCCCACCGTATAATTGTTTACAGTGATTTCTGGTAAACAACCGCTAGTCCTCCAAACTATCGAATAATCTTACTGACTGTTATTCAATTTCTCTGGTAACTCGCAGGATCGACTAGATTGATCCTAGGACGTGTTGGTCATTAGGGTAACTCTCATGATCGAACTGGTATTCATGGTTGGTATTTAGAATGTTGTGTAGGTGCTTAACTTACTTCGAAAAATCTAAAGGTGTGATCAAGTAAATGTGCGCGAAACTAAATTGCATGAATAAAGTTAAATTGTAAAGACATGTAAAAACTGCATAAAAGACAAGTAAATGACTTCGAAGCATAAAAACAGTTAATGTAAAAGATTCGAAATATGAAGAAAGCGTTTAAATGCAAGAGAACTGTAAAATGACTTTAAGTAAAAAAGGTGTTCGAATGATAAAAACTTGAAGATAAAGGCATGAAATGTATAACAGTTTCTGAAATGTAAAGTATTTGAAATGAAAAGAAAGCATTTAAATGCAAGGCATCAGTAAAAGACTTCGAATGAAAACATTTTAAATGCAAAAACTTGTAAATGGTATTGACATAAAGATAAAGGAAATTACTGGAAATGATAAAGAGTTTTCATTAAATCATAAACATGTGGTGTTATCATACGTACATTGCTCGTGCATTCGTTTCCCTAGCCATGTGGTAATTTGAATGTTTACTGAGTTTTTTTTTGTACAATAGATATGACACACGAAATCCTAATGCTAAGACTTCTATTTATACTACTTCGACCATAACGGTCTTGCTATAAGATTCTGCCACGTTCAGAACATGCAGAGCAATGCCTCTCTCTTGCTTCCACGCGTCTTCGAATGCTCCAGCGCATATATTTCAAATTTCGAACATCCCGCTTGCATTTGAATTTCAAATGTTTTGGCACTTCTTCGCTTCGAACGCATTTCTTAGACACAGCCTTGTTATCATTTCGAGGCTTCTTTGAATATACTCTCATAACTGTCACTCGAAGCTCCAAGCTTTGATATGCCCATTCGAAGCACTGCTTCTACCATTTCGAAACATGACGTTTTGTTTCATTTCAATCGAAACGTCCAACTTACTTTGCTTCTAATAATATCATCAAAATCTTCAGCCAACAAAATGCCCCTTTAAAATATGTATTTTGATTCCTTTGAGAAATACTTATTTTAAACATATACACAAGATTTTGATGCGACCTTCGAATCATCGTAACATTTATTACATATGACTCCAGTCACGTCAATCACAACGCTTTTCAGATTCCTTAACCGCCTTGAACCATTTCACAGCATGGTGCAGTTACAAAACAATGATTATCTTTAATCACGCCTATTACCAATGTTAACTTTACGCCACCTCTTCATCAAACCAACCCACGAGTACCACGTATCACAACCTTACTCAGTGGATGCTTAAACTTCCACATTATAAAAACCCATCAACTTAGTCTTTTCTTTTCTTCCCACATCCTGAATCTTTTCTCCAACTTTTCTCACCGAAACCCTAAACTTCCAACATTCTTCCAACAATGTCTTCTTCAACTTCAT